CCTTGAGTAATCAGGGTTGAAACTCATTCAATTTCAAACCCTTATGTGCCTAGCGCGTTTCGAACTCGAGACCTCTCACTACGCACGGTAACCTCACAACCAGTTGAGCTGGAATGCTTGGTTAGCACACCAAATTAGAGCACAACTTAAGTGATGTTTGGATGAATATTTAAAATGTTGACGATTTGACAATTATTATGCATGTATCTTTCATTTTTTTCCTCAGCCAACCCCATTCTGGATCTGCCCCTGCGCGTGAGTATAACTATCTTTTAATAATAATAATTATTATTATAACTAGTATAGTACCCGTGCATACGCACGGGATACAGCAGTTGATGTAAATCTAATTAAATATTAAAATAAAAACATTTGTTTAGGATTCTACATTTTCGAGAGAAAAAATAGTAGTTCAATAAGCTAATACCATAAAATATATATTCAATGAAGAGTATATTAGGAAAAATTAATTGACACTACATATGAGAGAGAAGATTATCCCGCTTAAGAAGTACACGTAAGAGTCAACGTTCTTTCACTCTATTGTTAGCAAGTTTATCTTCTTAGCTTCTTATGCCTAGGAACACTACATATGAGAGAGAAAATTATCTCAATCAATTGTTTAGTCTTCTTATCTTATACTTCGTACTTAGAACTACAAATGAGGGAGAAAGTTATTCCACTCAATTGTTAGCAAAGTTATCTTCTATTACCTATTACCTAAACATACTACATATGAGCAATAAAATTCTTCCGCTCAATTCTCCTCAATTGTCAGCAATCTTATCTTCTAATACCCAAAAGCACTACATATGAAAAAAATCCTCTCGCTCAATTATTAGTAAGCTTATCTTTTTTATATCTAAAACTCTTACATATGAGAGAGAAAGTTCTTCAGCTCAATTGTTAGCCGGCTTACCTCATACCTAAAACACTACATATGAGAGAGAGAAATTATTCTGCTCAATTGTTAGCTGGATTATTTTATATTTAAAAAACTATGTATGAGAGATAAAGTTATTTTGCTCAATTGTTATCAAGTTTATCTTCTAATAATTAAAAGTAATACATGTGAGATAGAAAATTATCCCGCTCATTTGTTAGCCGACTTGTCTTATACCCAAAAGCACTATATATGATACAAAAATGCTCTCTCTCAATTGTTAGTTGGATTATGTTATAGTTAAAATCACTGCTTATTGAGAGAGAGGAAAATATCCCGTTCAATTGTTACACGGCTTATGGTTGAATCTTTCTTATATCTAAAAGCAGCACATATGAAAGAACAAATTTCCCCGTTCAATTGACAGCTGCCTTATCTTACTATCTTACTGAAAAGCACTACAAATGAGGGACAAAGTTATCCCGCTCAATTGTTAGTTGGTTTATCTTTTTATACCTAAAAGCATTACATATGAGAGAGAAATTTTGGCCGCTGAATCGTTAGTCGACTTATCTTATACTTAAGAACACTACAAATGAGATAGAAACTTATTCCACTCAATTCTCAGCCAACTTATCTTATACCTAAAATATTATATATAAGAGAGAAAACTATCCCACATCCTCCACAAATCTGTTATGATTCACCTAATAACAATTTTGTTTCACCGTCTTCCACATTTTCAGTACTTAGTTACATAATTCTATTTTGATTAACTTTACACCATTAGATTGAATTGGTTAATTAGTTCTTTGAGTTTTTTCATAGAGTATATCTTTTTTATTGCAAGAACTTCTATTATGCAAGTTTATTATCATGAATAGTGTGAACTTTTGATTCGCGAGTTTATTTTCATTTAGCTTCTTATTTGAGTTGATAATCTACTCTAGTGATTCTTTCATGGTCCATTGACTCGTGAACAAATAAATTTTCTGTAAGAACCAGATCATTTCGTCATTTATTGATAAATCAACTTTGATTCTCTCTCACCCAAAATTGTGATACTATGAACATGATTTTAAAAAATCATTTGAAGTTAAGGTACTATATGATACTCTTTCTACCATTATGTTCATTATAGAGATCTTTTCAGAAATAATATTCGAGCAATAGAGGGTACTCATAAGTCTATCTTGTTTGTATGTATTGAATTGGAAGTCCACAATAGTAACCACATTCAAGTATATTTATATTTTTGAGTCAGTTACATATTATAAAGATATTATTAAGAAATCATCTGAAACTCTTTCATAAGTCTATCTCATTCTCTTTACTTTTAAAGGTAATTTGATGGATGAATAATAATAATAACACCAACAACAACCATAACAATAACAATGATGATGATGATACTCCCTCCTTAAAATTCTTTTCGATTTGACTTGGATCGTTAAGATTTAAGAATGTGGGAATAAATTTAAAACATGAGCTTGTGGTTGAGTAAAAAAAGGGTAAATGAATTTTAGCCAGTTACTACATTAGTAATCACGTGAAACTCTATTGTAAGTCTATCTCGTTTGCATGTACACAATTGGAAGTCCACATAATAACCAAATTCAAGTTTATCTTTTTAGTTTCTTATGTGTAAAAGCACTACATATGAGAGAGAGAATTATCACGCTCAATTGTTTAGTCTTGTTATCTTATACTTAAAACAACTACATATGAGGGAGAAAGTTATTCTGTTCAATTGTTAGCAAGTTTATCTTCTAATACCTAAAAACTCTGCATATGAGCGATAAAATTCTCCCGCTCAATTCCCCTCAATTGTTAACTGGATTATCTTATACTACCTCCTTCCCTAATAAAACTTCCAAATAGGTTTGGCACAGTTTAAGATAGTGGGTATTGTGTGGTGGAGAGTTGTGCAGAGGAGAGAGAAATGTGTAAGAAATGTTGTGAACCACAAATTCTTTACCAAAAAGGGAAAGTGAAAGTTTTAATTGGGACGGACAAAAAAGGAAAGTTGGAAGTTTATTTAGGGACGGAGGGAGTACTTAAAAGAACTATATATGAGAGATAAAGTTCTTTTGCTCAATTGTTAGCAGGTTTGTCTTATACCCAAAAGCATTATATATGATACAATAAAATCTCTCTCTCAATTGTTAGCGGGATTATGTTATAGTTAAAAGCACTGATTTTTGAGAGAGAGAAATATCTTGTTCGATTGTTAGAAGGCTTATGGCTTCATCTTTCTTATATCTAAAAGCACCACATATGAAAGAACAAATTTTCTCGCTCAATTGTTAGTCTTATCTTACTATCTTACTAAAATTCACTACAAATGAGAGAGAAAGTTCTTTCTCTCAATTGTTAGCAAGTTTATCTTCTAATAACTAAAAATAGTACATGTGAGCTAGAAAATTATTCCGCTCATTTTGTTACTCGGCTTGTCTTATACCCAAAAGCATTATATAAGATACAAAAACTTCTCTCTCTCAATTGTTAGTTGTATTATGTTATACTTAAAAGCACTACTTATTGAAAGAGAGAAATATCTCATTCAATTGTTAAGCGGCTTATGGCTTCATCTTTTTTATATCTAAAAGCACCACATGTGAAAGAACAAATTTTCCTGCTCAATTGTTGGTTGGCTTATGTTACTATCTTATTAAAAAGCACTGCAAATGAGAGAGAAAGTTATCCCGTTCAAATGTTAGCCATCTTGTCTTATACTTAAAAGAATTAATTATATTTTATTAATGAAGTAAATAAAAGATTATATGAAAAGTAGTTAAAAATGATTATGTAAAGTAACTTCAGCCGAATAAGTCATTTTTTTCATATTTGCCCCTTTTCCTTACAATAAAGAATTATAAATTGAACTAAATTTAGAAGTTTTTTTTATTAGCACTTGATGTTTTTATTATTTTCATTTGCTAATGTTTTATTCTTGAGTGACATTATAATACAAAGAAATAAGGTTTGTAATAGTTTAACCAAGGGCGTAGAATAGAAATGAAAATAAGATTAGATTTTTATTAATCATACAATTGATGAATGCAAATCACTCATCGTCTTCAATTTAGACCAACTCAAAACAAAAGTAAATAGACCAACTCAATTTTTTTAATTAGAAGTAATTAGATTTTCATTTGCGCATTTTTTTATATATGAAACCAATGCACATTAAATCATAAAATACTTTAAGAAAGTTTTCTTAAATAAATTTAGTACTTTTAGATTTTCCTTACATGGTCTGATTTTGATTTTAGAGACCATTTAGTAGTATAGAAATTAGTTGAATCAGTTGAAATGGATGAATTTTGAGAGAAGTGGTTGATTTAGTTGAATCTTTTGGTGAATGTATAAATTTATTTTAAATTAATTTTATTAATGAAATAAAGAAAAACATTTTACGAAATGTAGCTAAAAATGATCACCTACAATGACTTCCCCAATTCAGACGCCAAAATAGATTAAAAAATGTATATATAATTTGAAGCATAATTATAGAGACTGTTAATAAATTATATTTTTATATATTCAATATTGATCTCAAATGAAAGATCACAAAAAATTATGAATTTTGATATATTTATTATAAAAATTGGATTAAAAATGAAAAAGTTATAACACTTTAAAGAAAATTGGGGTTTTTAATATCTTGGGTCCCACCAAATGCATCCCCTGCGGCTGCTCCCTTTTCTATACCATTGGAGAATTCCGTATTTTTGAAGTAAAGTGGCCACATGGCATTCCCATATCAAAGGAGAGAATTATGGAGAGCAAGACACATAGGATTCATTAAGGACAAAATTGTAATTGTATGAGCTATTTCTTTTCTTATATATAAATAGATGTTATCATTATTATTAGTAATGCTATTACTATTATTATCGAGTATATGTGATTAACATTCGAATCGAATACACTGATATTCTTATTTTCTTTTGATAACAATTCGAATCAAATTTAGTATTCCTATTTGTATTTGTATTTGAATTTTTCGAGCTCGAATAGCCTTATACAAATTGATCGTGAATCGAGTATAAATTATTTGATTAGTTAGTTTATTATCCTAAGCCCAGGTCCTATGCCACCGAGCAGCCCTTACTCGGTACTCTCGATTGCTGGGCCGTCTGCCCATCTCGGCCTATGTACCCAGACCCGACCCTGGCATCCCAACTGCCCAAGTCAAGGCTTGCGTGCTAAACACTACTCCGCGAGCGAACGGAGCACGCCAACACGGAAGCCTGAGCACGAATATGATTGAATACATCCCTTTGCCCTTCCGCCCTTCTTCTGATATCTGACTCAATCTCCGGTGCGACGGCCGACAGTCCTCCCATCTCCAGGTAAGCCGTTAATCAGCTGAATCTAAGTGTTCTTTTGATAATCTCATTCTCAATTAAAATTGTTCAATTTTATTTGATGAATTCAAATTAAATGTTAATTGTCGAATACTTGAGTTGTTGAATGGTGCAGCGGGTTCTTCAGATTTTAATAAATTATTGATTTTTTTTGGCAATTCTATTCTGATATATGATAATCTCATTAAAAATGTCAATTACTCCGTATGTTGTAACTGTGGGTTTGTTAATTGGCAATTTGTTACGATGTAATTTTTGAAATTATACTCATATTATTTCAATTGTAGTCTGTCTAGATTGTTTGACAAACAATCCCTATGTTACAATATTATACACCGAAACTTAAACGGCCGAGGATCAATGATTCTTCATCGAATAATTTAATTTTTTAATCAAATAATGTCATTCCTAACAATGAAAATAATGTTGAAAATTAAGGTATTCTTTAATTAATTTTTTTATTTAAATTTCATTGTTTTCTTTAGTACTGTATTATTGATATATAGTAGTACTTCGGTGTGATTTATGTGCTTATGTGCCCCCAACTCACGAGTCCTGGTTCCGCAACTGGCCCCTCGCCCTGCTCATGGCACACCTCCAGACGTCCCCTCCTCCTCTTCCTGCATGCAGCAACACGCAGAAGGTTCCGACATAGGCACTTGGCGAGTTGTGACTTCAGCCTGATTCGTGAAGGCAAAAAACAAGACAGTGCCCCCTATTCGTCTGTTCTTATAATTTTCAAATAAATTTAATATGATTGAATACATCAACTGGGTAGTTTATTTCCAGAACATTTGGTCAATTTATGCATCACATTTACAGTAAAAAAAATCCTTGAACACATTATTTGATTTTTTTCATAGCAAATTCCATTTTTTATAGTTTATGATGCCTGAATTCATTAATTGATCCGTTAGCCCGGGCAACTGCCTACTGCCTAGGGCCTCACAATTTAGGGGCCTCAAAAAATAGTTTTTAGTATAAGTAGTATTTTATAGTTGGAAATTGGACAACTCCTCAACTCCCTGGCTCCCAGCTAGACACGAAAGCGGAAAGAAGTAGGCTTACAGGACAAACAACATTCAACATTCATTCATTCAATCGATTCCTCAATCCTCATAGGCAGCGAGACGCATAGCCGAAAGAGTGGAAGAGGCAGTGAGGCCCGTGACGTTTTCGGCCTCGACACGCTAGCGCCAATTGATCGATAGACGATGCAATTACGATTGAAGATTCTCTTGATTCCTCTTTGCTCCTTTCGACTTATGTTCTTTATCGGGTATGAGTCAATAAAATATGGAGTAGTAATGACCCGCACTTGTTTTAGATTTCAGACCTTTGTTTGTACTTTAGTAGTTAGGATGTTTTTTACTTGAGCTGAAACTTTTAATCTGGTTTGGTCTGGTCTGATTTGGTCTGAACTGGTCTAGTCTGATTTGGTCTGAACTGGTCTGGTAAATGTCTGCTCTATGTATATTTTACAACTACCGAAGTCTGGTCTGAACTTGTCTGACCTGGTCTGAGGTTGAAATATAAGTGTAAGTAAAAACATCCTTAGTACACTATTGCCCAAATGCCCACTGCCCAATTCACTTTTCATCATTAATTTGTATGCACTTTTTCAGTTTTTTTGTCAATAATAATTGTTACTTTGTTATTATGCATATATGCTTAGTATAGTTATTATGTTTTGTTAAGATTTTTTTATGACTTTACTTGTTTTCATATTTGTTTGATTATTTATTTTATCACCAATTTTGCACTTTAAAAGATAAAAGGATAGGGTATTAAAAAGTTCAATTTTGGTGCATATTATATGTTACATTTAAATTTATGTTTCCCAAATGGTGTATTTGTATTCATTTTATCATTTTTATAACTTTGTCTTATAAAAATCACATTAGTATGATTTGTGAATATTAAGTCTTTTTCGCCTAGGGCCCCCAAAATGCTCAAGACAGCCTTGTATATGCAGCACACTTACACTTCCGTGCTCTCCAAATGTAAAACAATATAATAGAGTTACATGGTGTATGTTTATGATCACTTTAGTATTTCTAGAATCATAAGTTTTATCCTAAACATCTGGTGCCGTAGAAGGAAAATACCTCATGATATATGAAATTGACGGAAGAATGCTTATTTACATATTTTTGTAACACATAGTGTGCATAGGCTAAGGTGAACATTTTGTTTGTTTTTTCTTGAGTCAATAGATTTGATGCAGTGCAACATTTTGAGACTCTATAAGTATTGCCATGGCACGAAAGCAAGGGAAATACTCGGAGGCATGATTTGTAGTGAGGGAGCATACACTAACATTTGATGATTAAAACATTGTCATAATTCAGAGATTTCGATGAACATTTAATTGTTATGGCTTCTTTAGAAGATCTACACATATGTTTATTACTTTTTCTAAGTTACATTTGCTTTTGCATTTAGATAAGTTACACTTATACTTCTCTTCCCTTCTATACCCAAACATACTCCATCGTAACACTTTCAACACTGACGCCAGTTTAGCACCTTTCCCGAAAATACTGAAGCTATATACTTGCTTTCATTTAATAAGTGATTTTGATTATGCTTTGCATGTTCGTAAATCAAATGAAGAATACCACTCAGATGTGTTAATGGTTGAATTCAGTTATATTAGATAGCAAAAAGCAATGGAGTTTTGCCCTACATGTTCGAATTTATTGCAATTTGGGTTGCCGGATATAGACCGTCCTGCTGGTTTCCGCTGCCCTACTTGCCCCTATGTGTGCGCCATTGGACCCAGGGTGCGGTACCTTAAGGAAAACTTCTCTTTTGATACTGGCATTACTTTTTGTGTTTAATTAATGTTGTTGAATTTATTTTTTATTTTCTTTTCAGATAAAAATCAAGAGAAGACAGCATCTAGTTCGGAAGAAGCTTGATCCAGTGCTTTCAGTTGACTCACTGGCTACAGCCCAAAAAACTAAAGGTTGTAAGGGAAATTTTCTTTTCTTATTATTTATTTATTTATTTATTTATTTATTTATTTATTTATTTATTTATTTATTTATTTATTTATTTATTTATTTATTTATTTATTTATTTATTTATTTATTTATTTATTTATTTATTTATTTATTTATTTATTTATTTATTTATTTATTTATTTATTTATTTATTTATTTATTTATTTATTTATTTATTTATTTATTTATTTATTTATTTATTTATTTATTTATTTATTTATTTATTTATTTATTTATTTATTTATTTATTTATTTATTTATTTATTTATTTATTTATTTATTTATTTATTTATTTATTTATTTATTTATTTATTTATTTATTTATTTATTTATTTATTTATTTATTTATTTATTTATTTATTTATTTATTTGTTTGTTTGTTTGTTTGTTTGTTTGTTTGTTTGTTTATTTGTTTGTTTGTTTGTTTGTTTTTGTGTTTGTTTGTTTGTTATTTGACACAATTTTAGAGCCTGTCTGGTAAGGGTTATCTGGTTTTTAAAGGGTAAAATACTTCTCTGCTTCACCAAAATAAGTAAAAAAGCACCTTGTTCTGCCTATGCTGAATAACCTGAACAATGTTTTGAAAGGGATACAAGGATATTAATTGCTGGTTTGAAGTAATCACTTCCATGCAAGTTTTTTCAGGAGTCTTTGGTCTAATCATTCAGGATTGAGTTTTTCTACTGGTGATGAATTTGAAAATCTTGCTCATATTCTGTTTTATTATTGACTGCATATCCTTTAATTCTCATAGATCAAATGTCTTTAGTAACTTCTTCTATGTTGGGAGGACTAGGAGCACAAAAATGTCAAAGAGGCGATTGACATTTGTACTTTGTAATAATGTAACTGACATCTTGCTTGGGGGCCATTTTCAACCAGGAGAATGCTTGGGAAAGAAAATAGGGAGGAACAAAATTTTGAGTGAATAAAATATTTGTTGGCATTTCGTAAATCATTTTTAATACAATTAATGTTTTAATTTTTTTTCAATATGTATTTCGGTATCATAGATTTTATATTGTAGATATAGATTTTAAATTAGTTTGAACGAATAATAAAAATAAAGTTGTTGAATTTCAACGGGTGTTCTATTTTCCTCAACAATGATCTTTTCTTCCAAATTTCTTCTATAATCTCTCTATTTCTTTCCCTGCCATTTTTCAAGTTACAAAAAGACCCATAGCAGTTCTTTTCACTTCCTTGCAAAAAAATTCAAGTGACAATGCCAGTACAACTTCTGTCTTAGAAAGAGTCAAAACTTTAATGTTAACAACATTAATAGTACAAAAAAAACTCTTCGTTTTGGGAGTGATGAAGGTACTGTATACTAACTTGAGATGTGTCACATTTGTTTGTTATATACACATGCAGAAAGATGCCCTACTTGTGGATTCGATGAAGCAGCTTTTGTGGAGATGCAGACAAGGTCTGCAGATGAGCCTGCAACACGGTTTTACAAATGTATAGGATGCGGATTCACTTGGAAAGAGGACTGATAAGTTGATGTTTGGCCTGATCAGATACGTCTTGAAATTTTAATTAGGCTTAACCATCATACAAATAGGACATTTGTGGATGGTGATGGATCTATTGCATATTGGCATCGAGCCATTTTTTGTTTGGACAGAATTTTTTGGACTTTTGAGTACTTAAAGTGTGTTCTCTTATATGGCATCAATTTATTTTTATAGATTTATATTCAATTTTGGACGTGATTTTCACTATGAGTCATCCGGAAACAGTCTCAGTGCTTTAGTATAGGGGTAAGACTGTGTACATCGGAGTTTAAGAAAGTGAAAATATATGGTTTTGGTTGAGTAAGAAAAATGTAAATGAATGATAGCCACACACAACTTTCCCTTTCCAAAAAGGGAAATGAGAACTATATTTGGGACGGTCCAAAAAGGAAACCGGGAACTATTTTGCGGGACGGAGGTAGGCATGGACCCGGTTCGGGCCGCCCGGCCCGGGACCGGCCCGGCCCGCCACTGTGCGAGCCCGGAACCGGCCCGGTTCTCGGGTCCGGGTCCGGTTCGGGCCTGGGCCCGGTGGGGTGGGCGGGTCCGGGCTCGGGCCTTGTATTTGGCGAACCGGCCCGGCCGGGTCGGGCCCGGGCCCGGGCCGAATTGATTTTTTTTTATTTTTTTTTTCTTTTTTTGGGGTTAGCCAAGTTGGGCTTGATGGTTAGGAGAGGTTTGGGGGGGGGTGTGGGGGTGAGTGGGGGGGTTAGGAAAGCAAAAAAAAAAAAATTATAACCGAACCGGAGGCCCGGCCCGGCCCGGACCCGGACCGGACCCGGTGGCTACCCGGGCCGGTCCCGGGCCTTCCTTCCCAAAAAAAAAGCCCGGCCGGGCCCGGCCCGGAACCGGCCCGGCTCGGGTCCATGACTAGACGGAGGGAGTAACTATTGTTTAGATTGTATTTTCATTTGTATTTTGGATGTTTTTACGAGACCAGACTTCTGTAGTTATAAAATACATAGAGATCATACATTTACCAGATCAGATTAGTTCAAATCAGATCAAACTAGACTTAAACAGACCAAATCAGATTAAATCAGCAAATTTCAGTCCAAGTAAAAACATCCTTTGTCTACCTATTGTTTTGCCATTTACTTGTTTGAACAGAAATTGCCCTAAATAGGAGTAAAAACGTTTTGAAATTCCAAAACAGGACCATCTTGTTTTTTATTGCGTAAATATGAGTAACCCCCAAATTTGGGGGAAAATGTCATGTTTAAAGCCTAGTAATTCCAAACTTGACACAAATTTACTCCTATTCAGGGAATAAAAAAGCATGATAGTCCTATTTAAGGAATTCTCTCTTGTTTGAAACATAAGTCATTTTGATGTTTTTTGCATTTCCATTCAAATTTTACTTATCTAAAATGTAAAGTGTACACTTCAATTTAGTTTTTGCAATAAACTTACGCTCAAAGTTTTAATGTATAAATATGGGAAAACTGTCAAATAGGTCCTCGAACTTTCATAAAAAGGTCAATTAAGTCCTTCTATAGGAGGTTTTGTCCGGCCGTCGCGATTTGGGGTAGTTCCCGGTGGAATGTTTTGATGAATTTTTTTTAGCATATTATTCACCAAGTCTAGTTTATTCATACCAAATTTCGGCTAAAAATTCAATCGGGAACACATTCAAATTAATTCTTGAAAATAACTGCGCATTTTTGCGTTCTTGAATTAAATTGAATGCGCTCCCGATTAAATTTTTAGCTCAAATTTGGTATGAGTAAACTAGACTTGATGAATAAGATGCTCAAAAACTTTCATCAAAAAATTCCACCTGAAACCGCCCCAAATCGCGACGACAGGACAGAGTCTCCTATAGAAGGACTTAATTGACTTTTTTATGAAAGTTCGATGACCTATTTGACAGTTTTCCCTATAAATATTGTTATATAGAGTAGCATTCTCATAAGGTCAGGCTGACAAAAGTTGCTGTGAGATGAGTTTATTTAGGGACCTCCCGATGAAATTTTTTGATAATTTTTTTAGCATATTCTTTATTAAATGTACGTGATCTTCACAAAATTTCAGCTCGATGTTCAATTGAGAAGTCAGTTAAATAAATTATTGAAACATATTGCGCATTGTCTATATACATAAAACGCAATATGTTTCAATATTTTATTTAACTAACTTCCGAGTTGAATTTTAAGTTGAATTTTTGTAAAGATGATCTATACTTGATGAAGAACATAATAAAAAATTTATCAAAAAATTCCACCAGGAAGAACCCTAAATGGCCTTGGGTTGACGGCGATTTCTGTCAAGCCGGTTTGATATGATCTGCCCTCTTGTTATATATTTAAGTGAAAATGGTCAAATAAGCTCTTCTACCTTTTCAAACTATCATTGAAGTCCTTGCACTAAAGAAAATACCATATTAGTACATTTGCTTAAAAAAATGATCAATTTGGCCATTTTGACATGCAAGAGCAGATTTTTTATATTAAAAAATTCTAAAAAATTGCTAACATTTGAAGAAATATAGATAAAAATTGTGAAAAAATTAGAATGTCAAAGTTAAGGTGACGGAAGGAACAGGAGGAGAGGAGGAGATAAGGAAGAGAAAAAGAAAAGCAAAAAAAACAGGTAGGGCAATAGGGCACCACGTCAGCAATATGACTGGATAACCTGGCCTTCACCTGCTTTCTTGGTCCTCCGCCGTTGCTTGTTGCAGGGAAAGATTCGGAAAAGGATTCCTCTATGAACGGGGCTGAGAGATCCGGCTCAATTCCAAATCTGATCATTTTTTTTAAAGTTGGGTGACTTAATTGGGTGTTTTTTAGTTCGAGGACTTAATTGACCTTTTGGATATACTACGAGGACTTATTTGACAGTTTTCCTTTGAAAAATTGAAAAAATGCTTTGTCTAGGTCTAGGTCTGGGACCGGAGACCGGACTGCCCGAGTACCTAAGACCGGACCGGAATCATAAATATTCGGGTCAGGCCCATTAGTTTAAACATTTTGTATCATATCATTTAAAATGTTTTACAATTGAAACGTTAGCTACAATAGAGTTTGAGATGATGTTTAAGGGAAAAAATAGTTAGTGTAATAAATGTTGTAAAAAAGATAAGAGAGTTGGTGCAAAAATATGAAACAGAAGAAAAAATACATAGAATAAGAGTCGTTGAATTTTTAAAACATGAAGTTTACCAAAACGGGCAAGTATATCCTAAATTAATATAAACTGCAAAAAGGAAAAATTAAGAAATAATTTTTCTTAAGAAAAATTATTTAGTAAGGCACTGAGTTTTGTTTTACACTAGTATCTCATCCGTGTGTTACACGGGATGTAATTTATATATATTATAAATGTGCATCTATAAAGTGTTTAAAAATTTGTATATAAAAATAAAATACGGAGTATAAATTATTGCATGATTGAAGTATTAAGTCTCCCTCTGTCCCTGCATATCAAAACCACCAGCTTCCCCACGCGCGTTGCGCGATTAGAACAATGCCCAATGAGATCTTATAACGTGAATATTTGGCTATTGTTTCCGTGACCACAAAAATGATACATATAGAAGGAAAAAATGAATGCAAAGTTGAAGAGAATCATATGATAAGTAATTAATTACTCCTTACGTCTCGCTAAGATTATCTCAACTTTCCTTTTCGGTTTCGTCCTACTAAAATCATCTAATATCAAACTTGATAAAATTTATGTGATTCTAAAGATCCTTATTTTATTTTTACATTATTAATTCCATATGAACCACATGAACTCATTTTTTTAATATCCGCACCACCTCCTTGTGTGCTAATATTAGTGAGACGGATGTAAAATTACGTCAAACCCAATCTAAAAAATTGAACATGCAACAGTGAAATAAAGGAGATATAATGTCTTTTGACAGGGAGAGAGTACACTTTATGGAAATATGATTACACAATGGCTAAATCTTATATATAAACTCGATATCACACCAACACTTTTTACATGACACTTATAAGTTTTAAAGATATAGAATGCAGATATGATTAGAGTGCAAAAAACAAATAGATAATGCTAAACTCACATGCACCTTGTTATCAATGCCTTATGATAGAATCACAATGCTATGTATTATGCACAAAAGACATATGTTACAATCTAGGATTTGGTGGATTGTACAAATGTGATCATGTCGAAAGAGCAACACCTTTTCAAAGATAGGATATCCTATATCCTATATCATATTTAGATCAATTAGCCAATTACACATGCTATATATTTTTAGTGTTATATATTTTTTGCTTCCCTTCAATTTCCTTGAACATCCACATGTGTCTCAAAACAAACATATCATAAGGGCATCCCTCACTAAGCCACCCCACAAGGAGTTCATTTGTAAAGTTACATACTTTTTTCAAACAAAAAACAAATTTCCCATGAATTACTTTATTTTTTACCAACGATTAAAACTGAAGCAACAATTAATAAAAGTTACACATGATAAGTGTGCAAGATTGAATTAAATATGGCAGATGATAAATATATATGTTGTTTACATGGTTGAATTGTAAGTAACCACCCCAACAAAAGCATTTTTAGTGCAAGTTTTGTGCAAAAAAAAATATAGAGCCCGTTTGGTGACTCCACTTTTCGGTTTATCAGACTTGTCAGTCAACTTTTTAACCAAACACGTAACTTTTGATTTCACGTGCTGAATTGTGTAATAATAAGAAAAAGCAAGGTTGAAGTTATTTTTCTGAATGTATTGGATGAAGTTACTGTAGATGACCATTCTAGCTATTTTTCACATCTTTTTTTCTTCTTTATTTTATCAATAAAGTATATTTTAAATATAATTATTCATAAATCAACAGAATCAACCAATATAGTCCTCAGAACTTCAGAAGTTTCAGCAGAATCATCCGATTCTGCCGATTTGAGTGTTACCAAACAGAATCATAATGTAATTAATTAATGTGCTTATCATTCTAAATAAAACTAAAAATTGGAACATTAGCATCACTACTGTCTCATCCTCCAATTTATATAATTTAATGTTGATTATTCGATAAATACGAAGTACAAATATGCTCTTAAGAATTTTTATATATAATTTACTTTATCAATTATTCTCTAAGTCAGTAGAATCGAAAAGAAGACTAAAGGCGTTGGATAATAATAAAGCCAGTCCCCAGCCAAAGATCCTATTAATCACAATAAATGGTTGCAATTAATATGAAATGTGAAAGAGCTTCAGTGAAACAAAACGGAACAACTATTAAGCCAAAAGAGAACGTTTTGACGGAGTAAAGAAGGTTTATGAGTAAAAA